CCTTCCTTCCTTCCTTCCTTCCTTCCTTCCTTCCTTCCTTCGCACCTACCTTCCTACCTACACACCCAACTACCCACCTAACTTACTATCTACCCGCCTGCCTTCCCACCTACCTACCTACCTACCTGCCTACCTACCTACCTACTTATCCTTTAATGAAGCAGGTAAGCTGATTGAGAACAAATTCTCATTTTCAACAATGACCTGTTTATAATACAGCAGTAAACAGAATAAAGTGATAAAACAAATAAAGCAAACAAAGACAAGAATACAASCACATTCATATCTAAGTACACTATGTACACACGATAAGTCAGCAGTTATTAAAAGCAGGTACTTTGATCATGTACCATGGTTTTTAGTGAGTTGATATGTGTCTATATTGAAGTTAACGTCCTGAGGTCCAGTGGTTTTTGCRAGTTCAGTCCAGTGGGTTGTGAAATATTTTACTGACAGACAAGCACATGGAAAAATGCACTTTTGTCTTTTGGTGCTGGATTATATAAAAAAGCATTTTTTCTTCCTGAAAAGTTCAGTTAATTCAGTTCAGAGCTGCAGACAGAAAAAAGTGATAAAGAGCTGCTTCATATTTTAATATCACTTCATTTCCTTTGTTTGTTCTCTCACATTGATTCCTATTTCTCATTTTTTCTCTCTTTTCAATTATACCAGCTGTAATAAAATGACTCCTCCAGGGAAACAATTCATCATCCAGTCCTTTTCTTATCTCCAACAACCTAATAATTGTTCCATTAATCAATGCAAATAAAGAGTTTATTAATTTTATCTTTACTTTCTGTTTGTTCAGACCATATTTGAAGCTTTTACAGCATTTTTATCTTGAAGTTTTTTATTTCTCCCTGAACTTGCAGTGACACATGGCATGTCTGCTTCCAAACTTTCTGTTTTCTCTCTAAACTTATTGTTGCTCACAAACAAACATCTTATACATTTTTAATAGTTTATTGTATTTCGGCTCTTTCTACTCCTCCTTCCCTCAGCAGAAGTTTTTCTTCTCAGTTCTTTGGGAAATTTATCCACTAATTTGGGTCTGCCGGTGCTCATCTATCATTAATGAAGCTTCTCCGTGTTCCCTCTGTAGTTTTTCACCCCAGTTTTGCCGTATAGAAGTATTTATTCAGTAAACCCCAGTGAAATGAGCGATGGTGACCTCGCATTGATCCTCCCAGCAGGATGTACAGAAAATACAAATATTCACAGTAGAAGAGAAACTTTGGCTTATYGGGAAAACTTTTCTTTTTTTTCCCCTCGGCTTCTTTGTTTCAGGCAGGACTTTATCTTCAGAGCCCAGACGTCTCGCAGCGCTCGGTTCCCTGCTGGATGATCAGCACTGGCACCACGTGGCTGTGGAGCTGCACAGCCTCCACCTCAACCTGACTGTGGACAAACACACCGAGAGGCTGCAGGTCCCTGCAGACTTCCACCACCTGGATGTTCAAAAGGTGCATCAACTAGGACAGGGGTTCTTAACCTTTTWGACCTCGGGGCCCAATTTGAACATAAAGTGGCACGAGGCCCAGTCAGACATTACCAGTGTACGTATCAAAATGATAATTATTCTAAAGCTTGGTTAAATTTTTATTGTATTTATATTATAACTAAATTAAATACACTTACTTGTAAGTGTAAGTGCACTTAAAAGTAAAACTCCTGTCAAATAATCACAAGACGTGATTATGACAAACAATTTTTTATATTGTAACCTGCCCATAACAATTATTTGAACAAACGGTCAGTCAACAGACCACTCAGGCTTATCAACAAATAATATATTTATTTTTTTACATCAATAACAAAAATAGAAAATTCAATAAATAAAATTGTGGGCGTAAGATAAATAAATTTAAAATGTTTAAATGTTTCAAAT